ATGAATGGTGTTTGACTATGGATAAGATAAAAATGTGAGCAAAAGAGCCCAGTGCTAGAGCACCCATTTGATGATTTCCAGAGTCACTGTGGCCCAGGGGTTTTACTCACTCCTTCCAGCACCCACAGAAAGACACAGATAGCTCAGCAACCCTCGCAAAGTGTGGACTCATTTCTCTTCCTTCAGAGAGAGAAGACGTTGACCGAGTGAACGCTGGACACTGGATTGGCAGAGCTGTCTGATTTCCCATGATCCTTGTCATTCTCCTTCTCATCGTGCACTGTCCACACACTCAGTGCAGAACAGTGTTGTAGGGGTGGAGGTTAAAGAGGAGACCCTGTGAAGACCACTGTGGTGACTCGGGTGAACCTTGGGATGCCACAGAAGAGGTCTCCTCTGCCACTTGGGGCACCTACTGTATGAAAGACTCTCATTGTGGGGTACAAGTGGATTCACGATGTACGATGAGAATGAATGGTGGAACTACAGTGATTCTGAGGACCCCACTTCTCATGCAGGGACAATCCACCTGAAGCACTGAGCATGAAAGCCACTCCCCCATCCTGAGTCCCAGATCCTTTTACTCCCCGCATTCCCTCCTCTCCACCATCAACATATATCAAATCCTAAGGCTGGCTCCAAACACAATTTCACATTCCCTCCCTAGTACATCACTGCAATTACAGAAAACACACAGAAACGTGATGAACAAAGAATAAAAGACACTACGCCTTGTGTGTATTATCCCACCAGATCGGAGGAGTGGTCAGTTGGAAAGGATGCTGAGCAGGACTGCTATTGGGGAAGCCAGTGTGACAATCAGGCCCTAGTCTGGACCAAATCTGGGGATGGGCGTCCCACACACTTTAATATTGAGGTCACTTACAGTGTCTTGGACATTGCACACAGCTGTGCGGTAAGCCGGCTATGGTAACAACCAGCTTGCATGTGGCCAGCGGAGGCTCAGGACATTTACATTCCAAACTGGTTGCCCAGGGATCTGTGAGACGCACAAGCCAAGGGCTGAACACCCTGGGAGGAAGGAGAAAGACTCTGGGGCATGGCCCTCAGACTATCTTCCTTAGGGACGAGGCTGCTCTAGTAGCCAACTACATTCTGTCTTCACTGCTACCAATTTCCTGCAAAGAGCCAGGGGCTCACGCTTTTGGGACTAGCATCAACTGACAAATAGCTGCTTTTGCAGAATCCTATTTTATTTTTACCTTGGCACTGCAGGCTAGAAATCCAACAGATAGATTGGATTAGCAAAATGAGCCCAGTGCCTGGTAGGATCACCTGTCAGAATGCAGAAAACAGCCCGGTCACAGGTCTCTTCTAAGGAAGGAAGAAACCAGTGTCTGGGGGAAATGGAAGGCTGTGGTGGCAATGCTGGGTCAGAAGCTAAAGCCCAATCACAGAGTCTGTACCCTGTGGTAGCCAGCCCCCAGCAGGGCCCCCATGATCCTTGCCTTAGAGTTTGTCCTACTACTCTGTCTGGGGATGACCTGTGTAACCAAAAGAATTTTGAAAAAAAAAAAATCATGGAGTTTGCCTTTAAAGCTAGGTCATACAAAAACATCACAGCTCCTGCCTTGTCCTCTCTTGGATCGGTTGTCTTTCGGGAAGCCAGCTGCCATGTCACAAGGACACTCAAGCAGCACCGAGGCGGCGTCCTTGTGGCAAGGACTTGAGTTCTCCCGCCAACAGCCAGCATCACCATGCCATCAACATGAGGGAGCCCGAAGCACATCCTCCATCCCAGTCAAACCTTCGGATGATCACAGCCCCAACCAGCATCTTGATTGCAACCTCGTGAGAGACCCTGAGCCAGAACCACCCCAGGTGAGCTGCTTTCAAATTCCCGACCCGCAGGAACCTCGTGAGATAGTAAGTATTTAGTGTCATTTTACGTCACTAGCTTTCGGTGTAATGTATTATGCAGCAAGTGCATCATTAATGCACCCTGCCAGGCGTACCATTAAGTCTATTAATGCAGGAAACTGACTTTGTCCCTGGTGGGAAGCCTTGTCAGCGTGTCTTCTTTCAGAATATTGGTATCTCCTGAGATATATGGGTATCCAGTGCAGTAACCTGCCTTCCTGCTTCTCTTCTTCCATACCATCCTCAACCACTGTGCCACGCAAACATATACATGTACATAGGCATATACACACATGCACACACACAACTTTCTTGTAAACCTGAAAAATCACCAAATCACTCAAGCGCTGAAAATATGAACTTTTTTTTCCAGGAAGAACCAGGATGTTTTAAGTGTATTTTTCACTCTGTCTCTGAATGGACAGATGGCGGGGGCGGGGAGAACACAGCTGACGACTGAGAATTGATTGATGTGTCTGTTCTCCTTTGCTAGTCATATAATTCTGAGCTGAGTGAGCCAGAGCAAGGGAGGAAAGCCACAGCCACAAATGCGTGCGTTCCCAAATTCGTCTAAATATTCCAGAATGGAATTTCTCCTTTTCTCTCATTTTCCCATCCCATTTATCACCCTAGGTGAGGAGGAGAGTCTTTGATGAGATAAAAGCACAGAGGCTGTGTGAGCATAATAAATAGCCCATCCAAATTACGGTAGAGGCCCTCAAGCTATTACAAGAGAAACATTTCCTCCCTGTATAGAAGTTCTGCTATGAAGAACCCAGAAGATGTGAGGCTCTAAGTTTCTGCAGGTCCTTCCCCTCCAGGAGTCTTTGTGGAGTTCTAAATTGGACATGTTGAGTGTAAGGCAGGGCCAAGAAGAAGGCTAGAACTGGGAAAGCCTTGCAGCATCCTCTTGGCTGATGTGGGCCCTGAAGGCAGCAGCAAAAGGTAGAAAACGGGAATAAAGGGGAGTAGAAAAGGGGCACCAGGGAGAGAACTCCCGATAAACATCCAGAGTGGACCTGCATGGGTTGAAAGATGGCCAGGTGGGAAACTATTGCTCAGCCTCCTGTGTGTTTCTTTTTATTTCTGTCAGAGAACTGTACCTGCCTGCCCTTCCAAGTATGGAGTCGTACCTGAAGGGTTACACGTGAAATTTTCTCATCAGGAGGTCCTTCTCTAGAAAGTCAGGGTTGATCATGATCACAGTTTGGGGAGACAGTGTTCTCCCGGTGTGTCTGAGCAGAGTAGATATCAGAGGCCCCATGTCATTGTCCCTGGCCCTGGATTCTCCAGGAACTGGCCCTGTGTCTCTCTGCTCATCTTCTTCCCTGCATCTTCCCCTGCTGAGCTCTGCCACCAGCTCTGATGAATCCCAGGGTGTCCAGCCCTGGTCTCTTGCCTGTGATCCATTCCTGATTTCAGCTGTGCATAGACTTTCCTCCTCTTGGTTATCTGAGCCTCACCTTACACACAGTGTGTCCAATTTGGAATTCCACACAGACTCCTTTTCTCCATGATCTTATTTCTGGTAATTTCAGCTGGGAACTTTGGAGTCACCTCAGATCTTCTTTCCTCAGGACCTAAATCCTCCTGCCAGTGGTCCTGAGGTCTTTCCCTTTACACTATACCTTTGTTATGCTCAATGATGGACTGTGCTCAGAGCCTCCACCCTTTGCAAACTCTCTCCTGACAGGCCTGAAATGTGCTCTTTTCTTTCTTTGCTCCCTTCATCTCCCTCATATTTCAGTTTGAAACAAGGGCCCCCTTTTCCTTAAGCCTTACCTGACCCCTCAAGACCACATTTGTCTCCTTTCTTGAACTTCTATTCTTCTGTTTCAAAGAAAATTGTTAATGAGGACCTGCTGTGTGCAATGTGCCAAGTGCCAAGGGGGCAACAACAGTGCAGTTCTGGGCCTCAAGGAGAGTACAGTCTAGTAATCATAATACCAATTAATAATTTTCTTTTTTCTCTTTCTTTTTTAAAAATATGTTTTCATTGGTTTTTAGAGAGATATGAAAAGAGAGAGAAACATTGGTGAGAAAGAAACACTGACTCATTGCCTCCTGCATGGCCCCCACTGAGGATGGTGTCCACAACTCAGGCAAGTGCCCAGTCTGAGAATCAAACCAGCAACCTCTTGGGCATTGGGTCCAAGTGGCTTAACTACTGAACCACACCAGCTGGGCTATTTCCTCTTTCTTAACTGTGTTTCCCCAACCAAATTCTTAAATAGCCAGGACTGTGTCTTAATCTTTTTGTAAAATCCACAGTGACTGTTAGACTACAGGGCACGTGATATGTTTTTACTACTTGTTGGTTATATGCAAGACCGGTAATAGAATCAGATTTAAAAAAATACATGTCAACTACAATCCTTATCTAAGTTACAGAAATATCTTTGGTATGAAAAAAAAAACCTTCAAGAAATTTAAAAAACCATGCTATGTTTGAATGATGTTTTACATGTCTAATCAATAAATCAATTTAACTTGTCAAATTATTTTTAATATAATCATTGATAATTTATTCCCCAAATTCCATAATCTTGAAATAATAATCATATTGTAAGATTAATGATTCAAAGCACATTAGTAATTCAAAGATAGATATCTGGAATTTCCTAAGAGATTTCACAAGACAGAAATAGGAGCAAATTGAGAAGCACTGAACATAATCCTTAGGCAAACCATTCTGTTCTATTAAGGACAAGATTGTTGATAAGATCCCGACACACAAGAGAACCATGACATCCTCTCAGCAAGGGGCTCCTGAACCAGGGACAGAACTGGACTCAGATAATATTGATATGTCTTTTTTAAATGTGCCAAGGAAAAAGATTTTGTGAATCAGAATTAGAAAAATCTTATTTCTCCAAAATGTAAAACACTTTTTGACATAAGAAAAAAAACAGGGAGATATTTCATTCCTCCCTGCCTTAAATGAGCATAGTTTTGATTCTTTGTTCAGAGGATCTAATATGTACCTCAGTTTAGACTACAAGGAATGCATGTCAGTCCAGCCTGGAAGAGATCTTCATGTGCTCAAGAACACAGCATCAACAATTTATCTCAGATATATGTTTACTGTCAAAGTAAATCTTTAAAAAAATCTTACTCACCTGCCAGAATATGCTGTCTATTGTGTTTCCAAGAAAACCATCACGGCCTTCTGAAGACACCAGTTTCGGGCCAAGAATTGTCATGAATTCATCAAAATCCACCTGGCCATCCCCTGGAAGGAGAAGATGCAAATATAAATGGAAAAGTAGTTGAAATTGACCTATTGTACCTCATGAAATAAACATCTTCATATTTTCCTCCTTAGCATGACCTCAATAAAAAACTAGTGGCATTACTGAAAGTTGTGCAACATTCTTCAAATACCAAAAGAAACACAATAAATTATTGGTAATTATCAGTACATCCAATACCACATATTCCTAATTATTTGTCTGTATTTCTACTAAATGCTCTACCAGCACCTCAAATTGCCCAACTATACATAATAAAAATTGCAGCTTCATTCATATCTCTCCCTTCATCTTTGTCACTCACAAATACATTTAGTCATCAGGTTTTATGGAATTCACCTCTTAGATACCTGTGGCTGTTTTATTTTTCTCATTAATCCAACTGCTAATCCCTTTCCAAAGACTATGGTGGGAAAGTGATTCCAAGGATTCAAGTTCCTAGTTATCATTATAATGTTATTAGAATTGCTTTCTGACCTCATGCTCTCAACTCCTCATTTTCCTCCAAACAATTCCAAGTTTACTTCCCTTAAACACATCTGATCATGCTTTATAAATCAATTCATCTTTGAAAATAAGGAAACCACCTCAGGATAGTATTCAAGTCCCATTGCCCCTCTTGCCACCTTTTGCTCCCCACCTCTGCACAAATTGCCCTGCTTTTTCAGAGCTTCAGGCCTCCGTACATCCGGGATGCTTTCCCCCATTGGTTTACCTGGTGAACACCATCAGTGCTCTAAGATGGAGCTTAAATATCATAGTTTCTTTTCATTTTCTTTCTGATCCTTCCTCAGCTCACTAGACAGAGTTGGCCAAACTTTCTCCGTCTCTCCTACTAACTTAATGTGCATCCTTTACAGAACTTATCACCTGTATCTCAGTCACTGATTTGCATGCCTGTCTCCTACCTGGACTCTGAAACTTCTTTGTACATTCAATACCGTGGTGGGCCCTCAGTGTGTGCTTGTAAAATGAACAGATGCTGTCTCTTGCTTGATCTTCCTTTGCTCAGTTCAGCATCCATTGGATCTTTCAAGCCTGAGCTGCTACTGACCAAGGCAGACAAAAGCTGACCTTCAAGGTATTGCCCAAGCTTCAATGACTCATCAGTGTGGCATTCCTAATGAGTCATTGAGGCTTGGACGATACCTTGAAATATCGTCTAAGAGAGAGTCTCCACCAAGAGGTCACCACATCTTGGCTCCCAGTGATGAAGGCAGCTTAAGTGTCTGTACACAATTTGCCAAAGTGCAGACATTGATCCACCCCCAGAATGCAATTGCCTTTAAAGAGCCTTCATTCAAAACCCATTTCAAAAATCCAAACAGATGTCATCATCAAGCTGTCAATAATTCAAATAAGACTTTCTAGAAGATAAAGGAGGCATGAGAAGTCAATAGGAAAGAACAGATTTAGCCACCAAATGGGGTGGGGCAGTCAGTGGGCTACTGAGAGGAAACTAATTTATCTTTCAACCTTCAATAAGATAAAGGGATCTAAAATTTCACCCTCATTGATCATAAGAAAGCTAACACAAGCAATAATGTGTTACCATCTTGACTTTCAAATTAGAGAATACTTGTAACAAGAATACTGCTCAAGCCTTGCAGAGGTCCAGAGAAGAGCCAAGCTCTCTTCTGCATTCTCAGTACACTTATCTGAATATTGGATATTGACTGGCAGTATTTAAGGTGCTGTAACATGCTGGCTCTTTTTAACATAATAACTTTACTTTTAATAATAATAAAAAAGAAAACAGGGAAATTATCTTACATGCAGACCAAGATGCTTGCCTCAAGATAATCATCTAGTATTTGTGAAAGTGGAAAATTAGAAGCTGGGAAAGAGAATTCCCAGTATTCTTAAATTTCACACTGAGCTGGGTCCATGTGGCTCCAAGTCTCAGACAGGCACGCCTGTTATGCACATGCACTAATCCTCTGTGTTGTTACATGCCACTGAATTGGCTCTGACTCCTGGTGACCCCATGAATGAGTGATGTCCACAGTGTCAGTGTCCTGCCGTCAACAGCCCTGCTCAGCTCCTGTAGACTCCAAGGCCATGGCTTCTTTTATGGAGTCAATCCATCTCATATTTGGTCTTCCTCTATTTCTGCTCACCCCAAAACACCCCTGTTACTATAGGTGGGACTGGAGGGCCAAAGAGTTTCAGACTAAAATATCCATTTTCAATAGAGACACTATCTCCCTTACTAAAGTGATTCTTAGAGGACAAAAAATATGCTAGATATTATAATGGTTTGTGGCCCTCTGGGACCATCATACATAAACAGATAGACAGTATATCTTTCTATTAAAATTTCATGGGGGTAGGACAACAATGGAAACCAATGTTCTAAGGCTCTGGGGGTGGGATGGCTATTTAAAAAAGAAGGTCAAGAAACACTGGACCAGAAGATGTCCCAAGTACTATGGTTGTCCTTCCCTGGGCCCATTAGCAATGGACCAACATTACCCCAACTATCACTCATGACGAGGACTAACAGTTCATAAAGGCTTAGTATTTCAAGAGCATGAGTCATGAGACCTTAACTAAAATATGTTTACCAGACGGTCACTCAAGCTCCTGGCCATGGTGTAATAGGCACTGCTGTCTCTCAATTTGGGAGGCTTGCAGGGGAGACATGGCAAAACACCTGCTCCTCATTGCCAGGAAAATGGGATTGTCTTTGTACAGTCCACCTTCCACGTAGGAGGAGAGGCCACCCACCTCTCCAAAGTCCCCCCACCCCCGCTAGAGTGATGGGAGTAAAGCAGCATGCAATTGGTGCATTTCAAGGGCCCACATGGAACTCTGGTCAAATCACCAAGGAATGCTCACAGAGGGTGTCTTTGGCTGAGAACACCAAGCCCAAAGCTGACAAGCAGACACAATGCTTCAAACTCTCCTGGCGCTGGCTGACTGCTCTTTTCTGACTCAATCCTTGGCCAGAGGGGAAGCGCTGGGGGCAGGGTGCTCAGGATGCTGTGGGCAGTGCTAACTGCAGTGCAGCAGAACAGGTGGCTTGGTGCAGACTTTCTGCTACTGGGAGAAGAGGTCTAGTTCACGGAGGATTTGCTTCCAGCTCCTTAGAGGAGGCCATTTGGAACACCGGATTTTTTTTATTGATAAAAACATGATTCCACTGCTCCTTTTTAACTATCATCGAGCAAACGGAGGTTCCTGCAGGAGAAATAAATTGGGGTAGAGTCCCCATCTCTGTATCTCTCTCAGGACTTCCTCAGCTCTGACTCCTGAGGATGTGTGTACACAGCACATTTTCCATAGACCTTCCATAAGTGAGGGCTCCTCTTGCTACCACACAATTTGACAGCACAAGGTTCTATTCAGACTTCATGTGAGGAAAAGCTCTCTTCAGCAGTTTGCATTTTAACAAACAGAAATGGAAAACACCCTACAAGCTCTCAATCCTGGTCTCAGAATACTAGTCCCACAGCCCCATCCCCTCACTCCATCATCTCAGGAGAACTGAGACAAATGGAGTCTCAGAGAGAGGTTTTTCACCAAGTCCCTTGTAGGAAAACCATTCCCAGGGCAAGGTAAGGTCTGGAGAGCCTGATGGTGCTCGAAATATCTAACATTTACTAAGCACTCATTCACAATGTGCTGGGCACCGTGTAAAGAAATCTCTTTACATTAGCTCAAGTCTTTCAACAGCCCGTTTTACAGATGAGAAAACTGAGACACAGAGGTTTTGTAGCCTGCTGAAGCTCATGTAACAAGCAGAGCTCGGATTCCAAACCAAGCAGTCTGCTTGTGCTTTTGCTGCATCTAAGGAGGCTGGGTCACGCATGGTCCTGCCTGGAACCTTCTTTCCCCCAACTCCAGCATTTCCTGGCAGGGGAATGCCATGGCTGCCTGGTACTTGTAGGGAAAGTGAAATCTACATTGCTCTCTCTGATCTACAATAGTTGTTGCATCTCAGGTCAACCTTTCGAGGTCTTTCTTAATCATTTAAAAGACTAATAAAAACAGAAAGAGGAGATATGTATTTTACAGTTGTTTTATGCCAGGCACTGAGTTCAGAGCTTTACATTTTATTATCTTGTTTGATTTTTATCCCAACACTATGAACAGGTTCTGCCCTTCCACATTTACCCATGAGAAAACTTAGGCAAAAAGAGGTTAAAAGCAACAAGTTCAAGGCCACGCAGCACATATCAGCTTGGAACCTTGATATTAACCTCCACGCTGTACCATCCCTGCTTCTGCATCAGGGACCCCGGCATAAGTCCTGGCTTAGGTTCATATCTCTCTTCAAAGTGTCGGAGTCTAACATGGTGTCCTTTCTGGACATTTAGGAAGGAATTCAGTGGGAGATTGGGAGAGATGGCCTTCACGGTTCTAATGCAAAAGATTGTTGCCTGAAAGCCACTTATTTGTTCCCAAATTTCTATTTTGCCTGCAGTCGCTGTCTCAGTAATTCTCCTTCGATGGTCAATTCTTAGCGGACACAGGTCTCTCTCATACAATCTTCTGGACGTCTGACACCTCTTTCCCCTGAAAGTATTCGTCTAATGAGGGAGGCCTGTGCGGGCCTGGCAGGGAATCTGGATTCACATGCTCCCAAGGAAAGGATGGGCATCTTCTCAGACCCACCCTCTTTTGTAGAATGTGACTGCAAAAATGTCATCGGGTTAAATTTTTTTTAACCAATTTTGAACATGCAAGTAACTGCAGAATTAAAGAATGGAAGAGTTCACCCCTACCAGGCTTCCTTCTCCCCCCTCAAACCTTCTAATATCATGAGCCACTTAGCAGGAAATGCAGGAAGCTGACCTGCTAAGGTCTAGCTGCTATGTAAGTCAAAGTAATAAACTTGAACTGGGGCAGGAAGCTGCAGGAGGGCCAGGACTGTGCAACATTCATTAAAACCAACCAGCCGAAGCTTGCGCAAAGAGCTAAAATAACAAAAATCACTGAAAAAAAAATAAGAATAATGAAAAGGATGAGCTCTGAA